TGCTGGAGGAAATAAATCTTATTCTCACTTCCATCCTCTCCTCACAGTTAACGCGGCGAATAAGATCCGCTTCGTTATGTCCCTGTGCCGGGCGCTTATTGAATTTCTCTTGATCTTGATAGAGTGCTGATGTTAAAGTGAGAGGGGAAATGAAGTCGAATCTTGTGGTGAATTAGGGTTGTCGAATCTCGTGGTGAATTAGGGTTGTCTTGAGATCTTATTCTGAGGATTTTTTTTTATGCTCGTTGTGCATGATGTGACATGGTTCAGACTTCTTGTGTTGTTGTGCTGGTTAATATTGATTAAAAAGTTAAAATAGATGAATATGTTTGTTCCTATGCCCCGTTTCGCCCCAACTGCAGCTATTTGTGGTGCCTTTTGCGTCACCGCAAAGGTGCATTCTGATTAAAATACGTATGTTTCCCCCTAAAAGACATCTGCTGCCCGAGAACCATAACTCAGGCTGACACTAAAGAGGCGCTGTGTGTTTTGTCTGGACGGCGGTGGTATTATTTTAGTCTGCAGAGGAAAGAGACAGGAGTGGGGTCGGTGGCTGGGAGGCTTGTTTGCGCCGGCGCTACTCTTTGAGACGGCTGAATGTTGAAACATTGGTACTCGTCAGGCCGTGAGGATGGTTTACATTCCTGGTAAGTGTCCGTCGATCCTGGAATGTGCACATGGAGAGGAGCACATATGGACTGGTAGAAAACAAGCCCGCTTACAATAATACTCACCAAAGAGCTGGTCATGTCGGTGTGTGTTTAAAGTCTGTCTGACAGCCCGCCAGAGAGTCTTGTACTGTATGGAAAAATGAGGATAGGCTTTGTGGACAGAGAATTATGTATAGGCACTTGTGTTATGGATTAAAAGTACTATGTCATATTTGAATGCAGTGAAACGATTTTCAGCATTTTGTATTATAAAATAGTTTTATTATTTAGGCTATAGTGTTTTGAGCCACTGACACTGACAGTTTACCCCAGAATAATGTAAAACCACTTTGCCCTATACAATTTTGGGAAAAATGCATTATTTAATAATTTCACATTTACATGGTTATATTTTGCGTTAACATAATATTTATTTAGGTACATTTAATTGAGCCATTGTTTTCACAGTTTACCCCAAAAAACTGTAGTTTAATTTGTTGGAAAAATGCAGAATTTAGTAAATCCTAATAATTTACATGATTATAAATGTTACTTACTTTATTTATTTATTTATTTAGGTTCATTTTTACTCATTTAATAATTTTAATTATTCGTTTTTAAAATAAATATGCTTTGGCATGTAATT